TGAGACTCTCGCCCAGTGCCAGCAGCGCCGGGAAAATAGCGACGGTCGGGTGACCGAAGCCGCCAAAGTCGTCGTAGTCCAGAGCATGACCCATGGTCCCGTTGGCCAGCGCCGCATTGGCCAGCGAAGTTTGCAGACCCGATGCCAATACGGTGGCCTGGTTGGAGCCGCCGCTATCATCCACATATTGCTGGATGATTTCTCCCACGGGCTGTGTGGAGCCGGCCAGGATAACTCCCAGCAAGTCAAAGCATGACTCGTTGGCCACCCGAATCGCCTCCGGCGGAATATCCTCGTAGTTGGTATTGACTATCCAGCTAGCTATTGTTTCGGTTGCGCCCATAAAGCTATTCTCCTATTCCTTGTATGAGTCTGGGTACCGGTAACTTGGCCAGTAACAATCATGCGGTTCAGATACAGGAAGTTCACCCAATTATATACACCTCGTCTTTCTGGGCAAGTGGGTGTGCAAGGTATATGGTAGATTCAATGTGATTCCAGCGGCCTTACAAGCTTTGGTAGGATTGGCTGTGAGGAAACTCTGCTTTATCCTGGCCCGAGTGTTACCTATAGCCTGCCAAATCGGGCCAGCGGGTGACCTGGATTAATCAGAACCCCATGTCACACACTTCTCGCCAAATCAACACACACGAGGTAGCAGAATGGCCACAACGTTTAGTGAAGTTTTCTCGGGACATGATCCAGTTACCATATACGAAGGGTTCGAATTTACCGAAGGGCCCGTCTGGCACCCGGAGGGTTACCTGCTGTTCAGCGACATACCGGCCAATACCATCTATCGGTACGTCCCAGGAGGCGACCCTGAGCCATTCCTGACCCCAAGCGGAAACTCAAAGGGACTGACATTTGATCGGCAGGGACAGTTGCTCGCCTGTGAGCACGGAGGACGCCGGGTATCACGAATGTCAGGGAATGGCAGCATGGAAACCCTGGTGCACCAATACGACGGGAAGAGCCTTAACAGTCCAAACGACCTCGTGGTCCACTCAAGCGGCAGTATCTTCTTTACCGACCCGCCTTATGGCATCGACCCGGATCCCGGGGCGCAGGGCTTCAATGGTGTATACCGACTGGACCCGGACGGAACATTACTCTGTTGAGCAGTGAAATGGACCGCCCCAACGGTCTGGCTTTGTCCCTGGATGAGTCAGTCCTTTACGTGGACGATTCCCGTAACCGGCACGTACTGGCATTTCCAATGGACGGTAAACTGGGAGTCGGAGAACCTTCCGTACTTGTGGACATGGACGTTGAAGCCCGAGGTGGCCCCGACGGAATGAAGCTGGACAGTGAGGGAAATCTGTACGTTACCGGGCCGGGTGGCCTTTGGGTTGTAACGCCGGACGGCAACCACTTGGGCACAATCGAGTTTCCTCAATGGCCGGCCAATCTCTGTTTTGGCGGCACGGACTACCGCACCATATTCGTTACTACGTCCCGTCGCCTCCGCAGCTGGCCCTATACAGTATTCAGGTAGACGTTCCGGGGAACGCTGTGTTCTGAATCTAAGGCAACAAAGAGGATGCGGACTCCAGACGTTCGATTCACAAAGAATGGAACTGTGTGCGCCCTCTTTGGAAACGGAATCGCGGCCATCAACCTTAAACGGCATACCGGAAAAACCAGTGACGGCGTCTCACGGCAAGTGCACTACTCTCGTCTGGCTCCTGGATCTGGAAGATTTCCTTTGCTGCTGGCGTAGCATTCAGGAAGTCCTGCCGCAGGCTTGCGACCTCGTCTTCCGTGGTGGCAGTGCGTTTGACCCAATCGTTGAAGGTCATATAGGTACGCTCGTCGCGACTTTCCACCCCACACCTTCAGAAGTCGTCACGTCGTCCTGCCGACATTCTTAACAGCACCGATACCTTGCGGTTCTCTACATGGCTGAAGTCGCGGCGTAACTCAACGTCATTGAACCAGTCTGCCAGGCTGTCATCCTCCGGCGAAACGGAGTCTGCCATTACCAGAGTCCCGCCAGGCTTGAGTATTCGCCGGACTTCGTCGAAGGCCGTCCCCGGGTCGATAAAATGATGTCCGGCTGCCCGGCAAGTAACCAGGTCGATCGATTCACTGGCAAAAGGCAAAGCCTCGGCCTGGTTCAGGCAAAGTAGTATGTTGCCCAATTTCCTGTCCTGGCCAATCCGGCGAGTCTCCAGAAGCATTTCCCGGGTTATGTCGCTGGCCACTACCTGGCTGGTATGCTCAGCCGCCGCAAATGCGGTAAATCCTGCTCCGGTGCCGAGGTCCACTGCCCATTTGGCGGAGGGTTGTTCCGCGATCATCCTCTGCAAAGTGGTCAGCCGGTTATCGCTGATGTGGACCTGGCTGGCAGCGTAAAAAGACGCTTGCGAACCAAACATCTGCTGGGCCGAACTGTTTCCTGCACCCTCTGTAGACCCTGACCGTGAATTAGTTGTCATTGCTTTACCCTTAAGTTTCTAATTGGCATTCCGCGTGGGCCATTGTAGTTTGCCAGAAAACCTGAATCAATGGGCACCTGCCGTACCCACCATAGGTCTATTGGCCGCGTTCCGATTGGCTATCCAAACACCATCAAATATAGCTTCAAGCCATGCAATGTGTTAGCCTACTTCAAGCCGCAGACGTGTCAGGTCGCCCGCATTCATTGCCAGTATTGCGGATACATGGGCCATATGCCTCGCGAATTCATTTGCCACCGCTGTGGGACTGCCAATAACGACCAAGCCGAGAACTGCAAGTTTTGTGGTTTGCAGGTCGGGTGGCGCCCCAGTGTCCCCAACTTCATTCGGTTTTGGAGTTGGCCATCACCCCTGAAGGAATTGGGCGGAACCTTGGCCGCGCCCTTGGTGGTCGCCCTCGAAACGACTTTTCCTGGAACCTGGGCCACATACCTGTTTTCGCTTCCGCTGTTGACGGCCAGTGTATTGGCCCTGCTCTGGCACTCCACGACAGACCTGCCTGACACTGGCAGTCCCGAATGAAGAACAAGACCTTCCCTGACTTTGACGCCGCTGTAGCAGATGTACCCGATGGCGCCACGATCATGTTTGGCGACTTTGGTGGCATAGGTGCTCCGCAGAACCTGATTGCTGCCCTTCACCGAAAGGGTACCAGGGGACTGACCGGCATTTCCAACGAACATGGGGGCACCGACGGCAGGGTGGACGTAGGGACCCTGATCGAGGCCGGCCGCATCAGGAAAATGGTCTGCTCCATTACCGCAGCAACTCATCCTTCACGAGTCACTCCCTTTGTACGGCTCTACAATGCCGGGGCAATAGATGGGGAACTGGTTCCCCAGGGGACTCTGGCGGAGAGGATTCGTGCCGGCGGGGCCGGTATCGGTGGTTTCTACACTCCAACTGGCGCCGGAACCGAAATAGCCGCCGGAAAAGAGAGTCGGGAGATTAGCGGTCGCTCTTATCTGCTGGAGTATCCGCTGGTTGCCGACTACGCCTTCATACGGGCCTGGCAGGCGGATGCCTTTGGCAACCTGCGATTCCGGATGGCCCAGCGCAATTTCAACCCCATAATGGCCATGGCGGCACGGGTTACCCTGGTGGAGGTAGAGAACGCCGTGGTCCCAATCGGGACACTGGACCCTGACGATATTCACCTTCCAGGTGTGTACGTCGACCGGATCGTTGAGATACCGTCAGAAAATCTGTTCATTTAGAGGCGTCATTTGCCTGCCTTTCCCGGTCTGCCGAAAGGGCTCGAAGTGAGGCCAGCAGCAGCCCACTCCCCACTGCAACTTGCCCCCAACCAAGAAGCATCATCTCCGTACTGGTCATTACTGCCAGCGGTCCTTTCAAGGGCACTACGATGTCAAAGGATAGAAGCAAACTTACGGCGAAAGTCAAAATTGCCGACAGGCAAAATGCGGCTCCAAGAAAAATTAAAACTAATGCTAAGAGTATCAAGTTGCTGGATCACTCTCCAGGTTGGATTTCCTTCCACAGGAAAGGGCCAAAGATACCGCGAGTCTCGTTTCATCGGTGACTGTCAATTCGGCCAGAGCTTCCCGGTCAGCCCATACATAGGTGTCGTGTTCAGTTAAACGAACCAAGGTATGTGCGGCAACTTCAACCAGAAAATTGAACTGCCTCGTAGCCCTCCCGCTTCCAGAAAAATAGTCGAAGAAACCGACATAGTTTCCTTTTGGAATTGGCTCCAGACCTGTCTCCTCCTCTACTTCCCGCACCAATGCCTCACCCAGTGTCTCTCCTTCCTCAACCACGCCGCTGGGCAGTTCGTAGATGCCGCCCAAAAAGTCATTCTGGCGCCGGCGCAACAGCAGCGCCTTACCCTGGTGGGCCACAACGGCGCCAACCACGAATCGGGAAATGCCCTCCTTTAGGGCTGGCGGGACCAAGCTGCCATCGCATGAGTCAGTCTCGTTCATGGTGACTCAGGCCCAGTGAAAGACAGCGGAAGTTTGGGGAAAGCATTGTGGAAGGAAAACAAAGGGGTTCAGTTAGACAACAGGTACAAGTCTGCCAATCAGTTCAGGCGCCCACGGTAGGGATTGTTCTTATCCAATTGTTCCTGGATAAGTTCGTTGGCTCGTTTCAACAGGGGCAGCAAATGACTCAAGCGTTCACCGGCGGTGTCAAATTCGAGCAATTGCTGGCGAAGACCCTGGGGTAACTCAATGCTGCTGGTCAGCGTGGCAACGGCTTCAAACGAGAGGTCCTGGGGGTCACCAGGGACCTGCACCGGCGCATTCCATGACCCCGCCATGGTGGCAACATGCCTTAAGAATTGACCGTAGTCCTGCCCCACCTCCTCCATCAACTCTGAAGACACCTCGCCCACGGTCTCTTCTTTGAACAACACCAATCCCACCATGTGCGGTATTTCCCGTATTATTTCCACCAAGTCGAACCGCCTCTCCCCAAGAGCCAGCAGGTTCATCCTGCCTTCTTCCAGGTGTTGCACCTGGGTAATACGGGCAGTGGTCCCCACCCGAAAAGGCTCTGCTGGACCTCCAACCTCCGGGCCATCCCTTATTAAGACAACTCCAAAAGGAGCCTCTCTTTCCACGCAATCTCCGATCATGGCCTTGTAGCGTTCCTCAAAAATGTGCAGCGGCATTCGCATGCCGGGGAACAATACCAGGTTCAACGGGAACAAAGGAAGTTCCGTCAGGTCATCGGGAAGTATCTGGTGCGGTTGGGACATGGGCCAAGTATATTAGCCCCAGCGGCAATCCACAAGTCGAATGTCAGCTACGGGAAAGAGCCCTTCGCCATCCTGACGCGACCTATACCGGCCAGGTCTCGAGACGGTAGGCCATGTCCCAGAACAGGTACTCGAACCGGAGACTGGTCATATAGGCCCGTCCCATGGCTTCCCGTTCGTCGGCGCCGGCCCGGTCTCCCAGTCGGTCCATCAGGACACGAATAGCATCCGCCAATTGGGCAAACTCCGGAGACTTGTACATTTGGATCCATTGGCAATAGAGGGGCGCCTCTTTGGGCTCACCCTGCCGAGCCAAGTACTCCCCGATCTCCCAATAACCCCACTGGCACGGCACCAGGGAAGCAACCAGTTCGGGGAAACTGCCCTGATGAGCCACTTGCAATAGGTACGACGTATAGGCCACGGTGGTAGGGGCCGGGATTGTGGTTTCTAACTCTATTGTGGTTATGCCAAACTCAGCGCAATAACCCCGGTGCAGTTCCATTTCTACGTTCAAGGTTTCATCCAGCAACCTGGCAAACCAGCCCATGGTATCCAGGTCCTGAGCCCGAGCCGAAGCCATCGCCAGCACCCGGCTGTACTCTATAAGATAGACGTAGTCCTGCAGCACATAATGCCTAAACTTGGCCACCTCCAGGGTACCGTCGCCGACACCGGTCACAAACGGATGGTCGAGAATGGCCTGCCGGATCGGCAGGGCCCTGAGTTCAATGTCGCTGGCAAAGGACATGATTTTCTCCCAAGCGGAAGGGGTACGCCTACTGGGTTGGCAACAATGTCGGAATCATAGCCGTCGCTTCCAGCCCGGTCAATTAAGCGGAGAATTACCAGGTCCGGATAGCTGAAGAACGGGCGGCATAGATCAGCCTTTTGGGGTTGCCGCAGATTGCTCCAGGAGCCTGCACTGACACCCGGCGTTTTTAGTGTAAAGGCCTTTTAGGGTATAATGGCCGGACTTAAATCCTTAAACGCCAAAGAAGGGACGTTTTATGCAGGTTATCTTTTTGCAGGATGTGACCAATCAGGCCCATGCCGGAGACATTAAGCGGGTAGCCGACGGCTACGCCCGGAATTTTCTGATTCCCAAGGGACTGGCGGAGGTTGTAACCCCCGAAATCCTTAAGCGAGCACATAAGATCAAGGTTGCCGGCGACCAGCAGCGCGCCAGGGAAACCCAGGTAATGGAAGAACTGGCCCAGTTGCTGGACAATACCACTATTAACGTGGCCGCCCGTATTACGCCCACTGGCCGCTACTACGGGGCGATAAACGACACCCGCATCGCCGAGTGCCTGTCCGAAACGCTGGGAAGAGAAATTGACCGGCGCCTTGTCTCCACCATTGAGCCCATCCGGGAACCGGGTGAATACGAAGCCATCCTGCGGCTGTCTTCAGATATAACAGCGACTATAAACATAGTGGCCGAAACTGAAGTGTAATAAATGTACGCGGAGCAACTCCTTCCCCATGACATTGCGGCGGAGGAGGCGGTAATCGGGTCGCTGTTGATTGACAGCGACTCTTTTCTCGACATCTCCCATCTCATCAGGCCCGACGATTTTTATCGGGACCGGAACCGCTTGTGTTTTGGCGCCTGCGCCGAACTGTTTCGCCGGGGTGAGGCCATAGACCAGGTTACGGTGGCGCGGGAATTGCACCGCTCCGATCAATTGGAAAACGCCGGCGGCATGGCTTACCTTAGCCATCTCGTTTCCACCACACCTACCTCCACCCACGCCGAGCACTACGCGCAGGTCGTATATAACACCTCCACAATGCGACGCCTGATTGACGCCGCTTCCAACATCTCCGCGATAGGCTATCGAGATAGCTACGACGTAGAAAACACCCTGCGCCAGGCAGAGGACGTGCTCTTCTCCGTCCGTACACAACGCTCGGAACGTGGCTTCATTCCGTTGCGCCAGATTTACGACCAGTTCCTGGAAGACCGGGCCTCAATTGTGGATCCAATTGATGACACCGCCCCGGTTTTGACGGGCTACAACGACCTGGACGAACTGCTTGGTGGAATGCAGCGGTCCGACCTCCTGATCCTTGGCGCTCGCCCTGGACTGGGCAAGAGCGCCCTGGCCGTTAACGTTTCTATCAACGCGGCCAGGCAGGGATCCTCGGTGGGTATATTCAGCCTGGAAATGAGCCGGGAACAGTTGGCCCTTCGCATCCTGTCTGGGGACGCCGAAGTTGACGCTCACCGTGTACGCCTTGGCCTTTACACGGAGGCAGAGGAGCAACGCATCATCGACTCAATTGGTAACCTCTCCGAACTGCCGGTGTTCATTGATGACACGCCATTTCAGGGCATTTCAGAAATGCGCAGCAAGACCCGCCGCCTCTCCCTCGGCCCCGATGGCCTGGACTTGCTAATTGTGGACTACCTGCAACTCATCCAGGGGCAGGCCCATGCCAGGGGAGGGGAAAACCGGGTGCAGGAGATAAGCGAAATCTCGCGATCCCTCAAGGGCATGGCTCGAGACCTTCGGATTCCTATAATAACCTGCTCTCAGCTTAGCCGCGTAGTTGAAGGCCGCCCCGGTCACCGCCCCCTGCTCTCCGACCTACGGGACAGCGGAAGCATCGAGCAGGATGCCGACATAGTTATGTTCATCTACCGGGAAGATGTTTACTACACTGAAGATGAGTGGGACCAGCATTTTCCCGACCGGCCCTACCCCCGAAATATTGCCGAAATTATCGTGGCCAAGCACCGGCACGGGCCCACCGGCGGCGTAAAACTGCGCTTCCGCAATAACCTGGTCCGCTTCGATGCCCTGGGCCGCGACGAAGATTTCTAGCCATGCCTTTCGACGGATTTCCCAGAAATGTCAGGGCCACTCCGGTTCCTGACCCCATCTTCAACTCCCTGCTGGAAGAGATAGAGGACCTGGCCGAGTTAAAGGTGACCCTGCGCCTGCTCTGGCTGCTGGGCCAGAAAAAGGGCCAACTAAAGTTCGTTGAGGAGAACGAGTTACTCCACGACACCACACTGCTACGCGGATTAAGGAGTTTGGGAGAAGACCCTCGTGAAGTAATGCTTATAGCATTACAAAAAGCAGTTACTCGAGGCACCATGTTGTGTTATTCCCCAAACTCTGGCAGTGATAAGACACTCTACTTGCTAAATAGTGAGAAGGGAAAACAGGACCTACGGAGGTTGAAGCAGGGAAACGACTCGTCCTCACTAAATTGGGACCCGGACCAAGATATTGGTGACGCCCACGCTGATACACCAAGAGTCCCTCCCCTTAACATATTCTCGTTGTACGAAGACAATATCGGCACCTACGGGCAAATAATGGCTGATGAACTAAGGGACGCAGAACAGCGGTACCCTTGGAGTTGGATTGTTGAATCTTTCAATTTAGCGGTCCAAGACAACAGGCGTAGCTGGAGTTACATTTCCGCCATCCTTCGCCGCTGGGCCTCCGAGGGAAAGAGCGGAGGAAGAGACATACCAAGAACCAACCCGAGGGGTAATGAAGGAGGAGCGTATGGAAAGTCTGGGCGACATACTTCGTCGAATTACCGCTCCAGATACCCCCAGGGGTATGGACGTCGATAAAGCTGCATTACGCAACATTGCTCCCGATGAACCTCAAGGGGAAATATGTCAGCTCTGCAACGGTGCAGGTTGGGTAAGCAAGAGGGTCCCAGTAGGACACCCGGATTTTGGCGAAGCATTCCCTTGTAGATGTCAGCAACGCGACCCAACTAGTAGGTCAACACAGCTGTAGCGATGGGTAAAGGGACTTTAGTTTGATGCGTGCATCGGAGGTGGTGAAGCGCCAGTCCACTTGGACTGCTTCTCGGTTCCGCCGTGTTTGCCAGGCTCCGGTTTCTGCCCTCAGGGTTTCCCGGTCGGCAATCCGCCGGTCCAGGCATTGGCGTCCCAGCACCCCCAATTCTATTTCGGCCATGTTTAGCCAACTGCCGTGCTTGGGGGTATGGTGAATCTCCAACCGTTGAGCTATGCGCCGGGCCTCCGCGGGTTCAAAGGCATCATATAATGAGCTGGGATGATGGGTGTTCAGGTTGTCCATTACCAGCACGATACGATCCTTGTCGGGATAGTCCTGGTCCACCAGTTGCTTGACCTGGCGCGCCCAATCGACTTTAGTCCGGCGCTCCGTCACCTCGACCCTCCGCCAGCCCTCCAGGGGCGCGAACACCATGAACAGTTGCTCACCCCCGTTGCGCTGGTATTCGTGGTCATAAGCCTGGACCGCCCCAGGACGCGGCGGCCGAGGCGGGCGGGTCTCCCGCACCTGCTGCTTGCTGGTTTCGTCCAGACATACCAGCACTTCGTTGTCCTCATACTGGCGGTGGTAGACCTCCAGCACGTCCTCCATGGCGCACACGAACTCGCGCTGCCTTGGGGCGGGATGCACCAGCATTCCTTCAGCCAGGGCTTGAGTTTGTTTTTTTCAAGGTCCGGCGCACCGTCTCGGAACTGACCCTCTCCACTATCTCGCATTCCACCAGCCGGTTCGCCAGCAACTTCAGCGTCCAACTGGACCGCCCCTCCGGTGGGTCGCCGCAGGCCAGCGCCACCAGGTAGGCCTCTCCCTGACCATCCAGTCGTTTCTGCGGCCGGTTCAGTTGTTCCTTGCGCCCCAGGGCACGCTCCAGACCATCTTCCACGCAACGCCGCCGCACTCGCTCCACCGTCGCCCTCCCCACCTTCAGGGACCGGGCTATCTCCTCGTCCTTCATCGGCCCTTCCGCCTGGTTCTCATCGCTTAACAGCAGAATCCGGGCATGGGTCTGCCGGTAGGCCGCCGCCCTCCCCCTGGATACCAGAGCCTTCAGCACCTGCCGCTCCTCCTCCCCCAACTCCACTCGGTACTTCTTTACCATCACTCCCACCTCACTCCTCCACCTTTTCTCTACTGAACCATTGTACCTGATCCCCCATCAATCCAACTGTGTCAGTCTACTAGCCGGGATGCTGCATTGCGCAGATATAGCAATTTGGGCACGCTAGGTCGCATTTCATTTGAGAATACATTACCCGAGAGCCCTTTCCCAGAAGCCACTGGCAGGGAGGCCTTTCAGGAGGCGTTGACCGCCGCCATGGCCTTTTCTGAGAATCCTTCGGGTTGGTTGGTCCTTACCGGACCAAGCGGCAGTGGCAAAACTCACTTAGCGGTAGCGGCTGCTAACCGCTGTATTGAGCGTGGTATTGCAACGTACTTTGTAGTGGTAGCTGACCTATTGGACCACCTTCGAGCTACCTTTGCCCCTGACAGCACAGTGTCTTATGACGAATTGTTTGATCAAATTCGGAATGTGCCAGTCTTAATCCTGGATGACTTGACAGATCAACCTGCGACCGAGTGGGCCAGAGAGAAACTGTTTCAAATAATCAGCCATCGCTATAATGAGGAACTACCCACCATAGTAACGGTTCGAGGTCCCTTAGACCGCCTTCACGAAGGTATCCAAACGCGGCTGGACTCTTACGGGGGGTTTTCTCAGATATACAGGCTTAGGCAACACAATGGTCGCATGGCTCGTCGCGTAGGACATCTGCCAGAAGAACTTCAGCGGCGCATGACCCTCGACTCATTCAATGTACAAGGAAACCCCAGGCTAGACCGAGCGGGGCAAGAATCCTTGGTTCGTGCCAAGCAGGCCGCCACCGCATTTGCATCCAACCCGGAGGGGTGGCTACTATTCACTGGCCCGCGAGGTTGCGGAAAGACCCATCTGGCAGTTGCGATCACTGGAGTAAATATCCAACAAGGCCGCCCAGCCCTATATACGTTTGTTCCTTCGTTGCTGGACCATTTGCGCTCGACCTTCAGCCCCGATAGCCCCATTGGCTACGACGAACTGTTTGAGCAGATAAAAACTGCCCCTCTGCTAATTCTCGACGACTTGGGAACGGAAAGTGCTACTCCATGGGCAGATGAGAAACTATATCAGCTAATAGTACACAGATTCGATTCTCGGCTGCCCACTGTCATAACGTCAGTGGTTAGTTTGGATAGCTTTATAGAAGAATTCCCAGGCATCGGCTCACGCCTTGTAGACGTTGGAGTGGTGGATTGGCACCCAATCAGAGCCCCCAATTACCGAGACGAGCGTCGCAGGCAGGATCGCTAGAAGCTATAGGGAACCAGGCAGTTGGCCGAGTCAGAACGAATCTCGCTTTAGGCAACGAGTTACCGCCTCTTCCTCTCGTGGGTAGCGCACCATTCTTCGTAGGGTGGAACCTCTTCGCTGACCGTCCACAGGAAATGATACGTACCTGAGTCGCCCATGTACTTGAACTCCTTGCGGATTGACTGCAGCGTGGCTTCAAAGCTGCCGTGGGAACGCAGGTAGCCCTGAAAGCTTCCATATTCATCTTCCAGTTCAAGCATCCGCTGGGCATTTACGGAAATCGCGGAGAGCTTTCGGCGGTGGCGAATCATCCGGGAATCCTGGGCCAACTCGTCCAGTTCAGGCTCTCCCAGAGTCGCTATGGTTTGCGGGTCAAACTCCCACATAGCCTCCCGGACTCCTGGCCACTTGGATTCCACAACGCGCCAGGAAATGCCCGATTGGAAAACCGACTTGCTCATGATTTCGAGGTAATCCGCCAACTTGCTGGGCGTAACTTGTTCGGGCACGTGCATGCTTCAATCCCTCCCTGCAAAGTGAAATGCCCCGGCCGAAGGCAATCGGACCCGGGGCATCGGTTTGGTCTAGTATCGGCTCTCAACCACCTATTATAGCGGCAGTGAAATCGCCTGCCCGGTCTGAGCGCTGCGGGTTACCGCCTCGGTAAACTCCATGTAGTGCAGGCCCACGTCGAAGGGAGTTCGAGTAACCGGCTCGTCGCCGCGAATGGCGCTGATGAACTCCTCTTCCACCCGCCAGGAATACTGGATTTCCGGCGGATTGTCGATGGGCTCGAGCTGGCTATCGCCCCGCTGTCCACCATAAACGTCCAGGTTCGGAGCAACCCGCAGGGTTCCCTGACTTCCGTGCAACCAGACCTCGGTCCCCCGAGCCAATCCGGTTACCGCGCTCACCCGCATGTGTCCCTGACCGCCGTTAGCAAACTCCATGAGGACGTCCACGTGGTCGGGTATGGTCACCGCGTGCATGCTCCCGTCCTCGTCCAATCGGCCGGGAACGTTAACCCTGGTCATCGCCATGACTCGAACAGCCGGTCCGGTCCAGCGCATCAGGCACTCATAGTAAATGCCCATGTTCAAGATGTTGTATCCGCTGAAAGTGCGATTGTGCCGCCAGTGCAGCGGGGCGCCGGCGTCTACAAAGGCAGGAGAGACCACCTGTGCTTCTACCGCCAGCAAATCACCCAGGTAGCCCTCGGCAACCTTTTGCTGGATCAGGTTGTCTACCTTGAACGTGGAGGGCCCCGGAACGATCTGGGCAATCAGTTCGGGGTGATTCCTGGAAGCCTCCAGCATTTCCCTGGCTTCCTGTGCATTCGCCGCCATGCGGGCCTCGGTCAACACATGCTTGCCCTTCTCCAGGGCGGCGAGGGTGAGGTTGCGGTGCATATAAGGCCACGTGCCGATGCAAATCGCATCTATGGAGGGATCGTCAAGCAGGTCCCGCCAGTTATCGTAAACAGTTGGAATGTTGAAGGAATCGGCCACCCGCTGACCCGATTCCCGGCTGCGATTGGCTACTGCAGCCAATTCAACGCCTTCTACATTAAGGAATCCTGGAATATGGCGGTCACGGGTATTCCGGCCCGCGCCTATCAGCCCCAAGCGGATTGATTCGTTAGCCACGGAGAACCTCCTGTATCATTTGAACGTACATCGTTGGAATGTCTGACATGCTATAGGGCCCGATTATAGGGTAGGCCCCTCGCATTGTCACCTTGACAGTCTAAAACACTGATCGGCTAACCCGCTTCGCATTAGAATTTTTCCCACGGATCCGTATACTGGATCGCCCCTGTCCGGGGGCTCGCTTGCCAGGTTTTGTCAACACGCGTTAAAATTCAGTGTGTTTTGTGCCGTTTTCGTCGCACATCACTGCATTGATAGAATCTTCTTGAGGCCTACCGGGTTCTTGGCTCGACTGTGCACTCACTTGAAACTCATAGGCTATTGCCTGGAACGTTCCAGGCACCTGAGAGTAGTGGGCGACAGTATGGAGCCCACACTTTCGAACCGTCAGCACTTGCAAACCCAGCCTTTAGCAATGGGGCCTCAGGCAAGCAATATTTTTCGAGGATGCATCGTGGCCTTCCAGCATCCGCACCGGTCGCAAAGTATCTACATCAAACGGGTGGTTGGGTTGCCAAACGAGCACATCGCCATTCGAGAAAACCGGCTTGAAATAGACGGCCGCCAACTGGAAGAACCTTATTTGGTGGAGGCTACAGCAACCTCGGAAGTTGGGCCAAGCCAGTGGTATACAGGCGTCGATGAACTCTTTCTACTTGGTGATAACCGCAACGATAGTGAGGACAGCCGGAACTTTGGCCCTGTGTCCGATCAACTGGTCTTGGGCAAGGTTTGGCTCCGGTATTGGCCACCGAAAATATTTTGACCCTGATCCTTGGAATGGCACGAAATCACGTCACCGCGCCAACAATCGCACACAGTCCCAGACCTACCAGCAAATCGCGGAACCCTTGAAGATTGTGACTTATGGCTAGTCTGGTTTCGTCATTTAAAGTCAATAAGCAACGACTGAAGGACTGGGTATGGCATCACCCACTGATGCGACACCGCCCGGTCAAAATGACAGCCCGGGTAGCCAGCGAAATGATCACCCGAGACGCCAATCACATGGCGGCCGGTGTCGCCTACTACACGATATTTGGCGTCTTTCCCTTCTTGCTGGGCATGATGGTCGTCTCCGGTTTATTCCTCCAAGCCGAAGTTATCCAGGGAAAACTTCTGGATTTCGTGATAGGGAATTTCCCTGGCTCAGACCGTCTTATTGCCAGCAATATCGTGTTCATTGACTCGCACCGCGGAGAATTTATTCTGATTGCCGTCGTTGGTATTCTTTGGTCTTCCAGCTCGGTATTTGGAGCCATAGACCGGGTCGTAAACCGTGCCTGGGGAATCTACCAGGGCCAGCCATTTCACGTACACCGGATTGAGCACCTGCTGTTTCTACTTTCCTTCGGTCTGTACTTTTTCTTTTGGCTGGCCGTCACTTCGGCTTCCCAGGTCCTGCTGGAACTGGACCTTCAACTCTCCTGGCAACAAGCCCTGCGTGAGTCAGAGGTCTTTATATTGCTTATCAAGTCCTCATCGTGGATTGTCTCAGGTGTAGGATTCCTGCTGATATACCGGTATTTGCCCAATTGCGAAGTAAAATGGCAGTACGTTTGGCTCGGAACCATCGTGGCTACAACTCTTTTCGAACTGGGCAAGGAGTTGTTTGCAGTCTATTTGCATCACTATGGCAAATATGACATTCTCTACGGCTCAATAGCATCGACCATAGTTTTCCTGTTTTGGGTTTACCTCTCGGCATTGATTCTTGCCCTGGGCGCGGAAATCTGCTCCAATTTCCAGCAAGCCTATCATCCCGAGGACGAGATCAACCGGACTGGTGGGTGGCAGTAACCAACCTCCTGCTATTTACTGAATACTTCCACCAGGCAACCGTCGCAAAGAAAAGGGGTGGACCTAGGTGCCCACCCCTTTCTTATGCTTTCCCAGAGCCGTAAATCTGGAAGAATCGCTTATGCCAGTGCGCCAACCTACATCTTCCAGAAATTTCCGACCTGACAGACCATATCAACTTTATTGATTGATTCTACCGGCCACCCCACCATGTTTATCCAATCCTCAAAGTGGGACTGTTCAACCGCCTCGCACTCCGAAATCAGACGTCCGTTCTCCAAGTCTCCGTAAACCTTCAATATAGTAGTCCGGCGGTCGGGACGCCACTTCCGGACGGCATTGAGCTTGTCCCGAAAGTCCTCTTCGGTGATACCGGGCACATTATGAATGGCGATAAATCGGGTCATAGATTGATTACCTCACCTGATTGGTCTTCGAAACAGGGCCAGGCAACTGCTCAGCCTCCCCTAATACTGGCTCCCGCCAGTGGAATTGCTGAAAAGGATTTCGGTTAATCTTCCGGCGGCACAAAGGGATAGGGAATGTCGGGGCCGTTACGCAGCGGCAGCACCACGGTTGCGGTCCCTGGCATGCTTTCTATGCCGTCCTGGGTCTTCATCCCGATCTCCAGTTCCACAAAACCCATTTGGTTCTTCTCATACTTGCTGGTGACCTTGCCCCACATGATGAGAACATCGCCGGGAACCAGCATGGCCCGATGCTCAAATTGGGCCTTCCACGGCCAACCCTTGGGCAATGTCCAGTCCTTCAAGAACTGGGGAACCACGCTCTGCTTCCATGATCCGTGCACCAGGATGCTGGGATTCTTGTCGTGGTTCAGCCCAAAGTCAAGATCATAGTGAATCCGGTGGAAGTTCTCTATTGCCGCGCTCCAGCGGAACAGATGGGTGGGAGTGGGATTGTAAACGTACTTGGGTAACTCCAACCCCTCCTCGACGTCCTCGTAGTAAATCTGCTGCTTGTTCCGGAGGTCGTCGGCCTTGGGGCGCTCGTTATGGGCCACTATTTCTTCGGGCTCCAGTTTCAGCAGTTCCTCCAGGGGCAGGCTCATAAACGCCACCTCGTCATAGTTTCATTCTACGGCCAGAAACCGAATCTACCCTAACGCCGGATAGACGAAGCCCGGGTGATGCAAAGCAGCTCGTCATTCTGGTTCTTGTATCTCGTCTCCCGGGTGATTATCAGGAAAGCACGACCGTCGCGGCCCACACGCTCCCGAATGTCTGAATATTTATTCTGAAAGAACACCTTATCCCCGATGCTCGGGTACTTGTATATCTCCAGTTCATTGCCGGCGTTGAGGACCCTGACCAGGTTGGTAGGTACGGGCGGCAACTCCCCGGGTCGTTCAATCGATCCGATCCCGTCCGACTCCGGGTTCTCTTCAAAGGCGCGGGTGACCGGATCGTCCTGGTCGGGACGGATGCGGGAGGCCAGGTAACTGACCATTATGGGCGGGGTGATAATCTCCCCGTAATGGGTGGACTCAGCGAACTCCTGATCCCAATATCGGGGATCCGGATCCATCACTGCCTGGGTGAAGCGACGCAGGTATTCCGAATCCACGTTGCCCCAGGCTTCGACGACATCGCCGGTTACCCCGATCATTGCTCTTACTTCGGGAGTTAGGGCCGACTGGGTTTCCTGTGTCATGGGTTTCTTCCTCTCCAAAGCTACCCCGAAAGGAGGGGGGATGAACGGCTTTAGGCTAACGCAGCCCGTGGGGGTTAGTCAATGGGATGGCGAGGCTGGCTGCGTCAATCCCCAAACCAGGGCATTCACCTTAGCAATCTAAGGCAATCCGTCTTTCCGGTTTGGGCGGGAACATGGGTCACTTCCACACCCCGGTTTCTGACGATTACGAAAACTCGATATCGGAATTGCAGGCTTCATGCCTTTGGATAAGTGCGGACGCAAGCGCAGTTGAAAACCATACCTCGGTATGCTGTAATGTGCCCACTATGAGGAATCAATCACAGGTTGCTCCTGTACCGGTCAGACGCCCTCACAACACCAATGTGAGCGCTACTGGCTACATGCTCATAGCTGTGGCATTCTTCGGCATAGTGCCCCTGGTTATCGCCCTGGGACGTGGGTATAACCCCTTTCTGTTTGGTTCGGCAATGCGCCTGGGCATGGCCGTTTTTATTTTTACCCTCCTGATTGCTCTGTATTGGCGTCTTCTGAGAGAGCAGGGAATGTATTCCTTTATTCGGAAGAGGTTCTTTTCGCCTGAAATCGCCGGGGTACTGTTTAGCTACTTCGATCTGGCAGTTCTGGCCCTCGCATTCCGATGGGCGGACCCATCCGCCGGGGCTGTCATTTTTGAACTATCGCCCCTGCTCCTCATTTTCATCGTTGCCCGGTGGACCAGCGGTCAACACCACAGTCTACATAGAATGACGATGCTGATGCTCTTTGTCGCCCTGGTGGGCATAGTTTTCGTCCTTGCCAGCCAGACTAATGGCTTCGTTGCATTGGTTGAGGAAACCCTGAACGACTTTCCCTCCGACGCGTATATAGGATTGGCCTTGGCGCTTGGCGCCGCATTTCTTACGGCCTTTGCCGGTTTCAACTGGGTATGGAGCCACAGGTCCGTCAACCATGCTGATATTCCGCCCCAAATCGTGGAATCGCACACTCAGGAATCCTTGGGTATGTTCTTTCTCCTGGTGGCCTCGGCGCTGGCAAACCTGGTGGCCGCCATACTCAGCGGAGTTGCCGGCGTTGCCTACGGAGCCTTCACCGGGGACTGGATTACCTCTAATGGGCTGCTGTTGGGACTGGTAGGCGGCATTCTCAGTGCTGGTATTGCCAGTGCCTTGTGGAACTACGCCTCAACCCTGACCCGCAACCTGGGTCTCCACTCTTTAACCTACGGAACTCCCATATTCTCTCTGGCATTCCTCGGACTGGCTGGCCAAATCGGCGACGTAAACGCAGCTTATTTGATTATTGGCACGGCCGCCATAATTACCGCCAACCTCGTCATCAATTTTGAAGCCGAAGTACAGCTGGGATTCGAGTCCCTTATCCTGGGCCTGGGCATCTGCGGCGCCGTCGTGTACATGCGGGACCATATGTTCCAGTTTCTGGGCGTAGGCAACTGGGACTGGAATGAGGGCGGGTATTTCGGTTCCGTAGCCCTGTCTGCCACTATTTTTGCCCTGCTTCTGGCGTTCCGGGTTGCCCGTATGTCCTCGCGAACTACCGACGAGGATAACCGCACCTTCAATATATTTCGGAAAGCAGACCTGCTGGCCCGGCGCGGCGCAATTACCGGCGACCTGTGATCCTGCATTCTGGGCATTGATAAAGCTGACAATCCCGCTGACCTGAAACTGTCTTACGTTCAAGCCCGCAGGCATATTACTGCAGTCGACATACACAGTCTCAGCGAGTTCGACATCCAACTGTTGAATGGACTGGAGGGGGAACTGGACGGGTTGATCCGTTCCAAGCAGGTAGACATTCACTTGGGAGAGATCTTCGCCTTGGGCATTTTTGGCTCGATTACCATTGGTCTGGCCCTGTTTTCGCTGCCACTGGATGTCTGGGAAGGTTGGAGACGTTTTCTGGTTGATATATTTGCGATGGTCATTTCCGCCGTCGTGCTGTTTCTGCTGGCCCACGCATGGGACCTGCAGCGGGAAAGGGACGACCACAAGCTGGAGCCAATCGAGTCTTCGGATGAGTATCGTTTTTACGAGATCAGATTTCCCGATACGCAGCGCCGCATGCTGGACATTTGGCTCTCAGTCATCGTAGGGACCGGACTGATCATCATCTACATCGCCCTGTTGGGTGAAAAGTGGGTTGGTTGGTTTCCCTAAAACTTCAACCGCATTTTCGTCTATTACCTCAAGTGCTCTTCCCCCTGGGTTGCTTTCGATATTCCGGTTGCGCCCAATTCCTCCTATCGACATATACGCAAAACCAGCTGTGAGGTCTCTTAAATGGACATTGAGGGCGGGGTATTTATAGTAACCGGTTCAGCCACCGGCCTTGGCGCCGCCGTGGCCAGGAGGCTGGCCGGCAAGGGTGGACGGGTTGTCATCAATTACACCCGAAGCGAAAGCGAGGCCAGGGAAACGGCCGCTGCCTGTAAGGAGTTGGGCGGGGAAGCTATCCTGTGCCAGGCTGATGTTTCGGTAGACGAAGACTGCCGGCGAATAGCCAGCGAAGCCCTGGCCCAGTGGGGCCGGATCGACGGTCTCGTCAACAACGCCGCCCGGTCCAAAATCGTGCCCCATGCTGACCTGGAAGGGCTTACCGGCGAAGACTTTAACCAAATCTTTGCCGTCAACGTCATCGGTGCATATCAAATGGTTCGGGCTGTGACACCGGCCATGAAGGAACGAGGGCGTGGCGCCATCGTCAACATCTCATCGGGTTCAGGCTTCAGCGGCTCAGGCAGTTCAATCGCCTACGCCGCATCCAAGGCCGCCCTCAATGTCATGACCTACTCCCTAGCCCGCGCGCTCGCTCCGGAAATCCGGGTCAACGCCGTCTGCCCTGGCGTAATGCAGACCCGCTGGTGGCGGGAAGGCCTGGGCGAAGAGAACTACAACACCTTCATCGAAAGATACGCCGAACGTACTCCGCTCAAGGCCGCCGGCGATCCTGAAACCGTCTCCGAACCGGTTGTATGGTTGCTGGAAGGCGCCGAACACGTAACCGGAGAGACCATCATGGTGGATGCAGGGTCTCATCTGGTTTAGCGTCCATACCAACGGTCAACATTGCCCAATGTAAGGCGGAGCGTATTCCTGTAACGGTTGGGGCATAGGGCTCTTGAGCGGCCCCTCTTCACCTGGCGCTTCCAGTTGGAAAGCAGCAGTAATCTCTTTACCCGCACGGGTGACGTTTCCACGTCTTACTCTGTTCTGTTCGGCCAGGTGTATAATTGCTCGGCCGCGGGCCCCTCGAAATCACCGTGTGTCCGCGGCGCGCAACAGTTTCGGAGGATATCACAATGCGACTGGAACCCATGAACTTGTACGAACTTGAAGAACACGCTTCCAGGTTCATTAGCCCCCATGCCTGGGCCTTCATCGACGGTGGGGCTCAGGACGAAATTACGGTCAAACGGAACCGCGCCGCCCTGGAAGCCATAACACTTCGGCCCCGGTTCCTCCAGGACGTTTCGAACCGGGACCTGTCCACCACTGTACTGGGTGAGAAAATCAGTTTTCCGGTTATGGTCGCCCCGGCCGGCGGCCACCAGATGGCCCACCCCGAGGGGGAGCTGGCCACTGCCAAAGGCACTGGCGGCGCCGGCACCCTGATGACCCTGGCCACCGGCTCCCATTTCAGCATGGAGCAGGTAGCGGAGGTTTCCAACGGCCCCCTGTGGTTCCAGCTATACCATCAGGACCAGGAAACCAGCGCCATGCTGGTCAAGCGTGCGGAACGGGCCGGCTACAAGGCCATCGCCCTGACCGTGGACACTCCCATCAACAGCCCCATCGAACGGAGCATCCGTCACGGTTCGGAGCGGCCCCGGGGGTTTAACCCGGGTAATTTTGTTGGAGAGGAAGCCGGTCTCGGCCTGGTGCCGGACACTCTGGAAGCCCTCTACTACCAACGTCCCTGGAACCTTCCCCTGACTTGGGCTGAACTGGGTTGGTTACGTCAGCAGACCTCGCTGCCCATAGTTCTGAAAGGCATCCGAACTGCCGAGGACGCCTATCAGGCAGTGGAAAACGGTGTTGAGGGAATCTGGGTATCCAACCACGGCGCAAGGCAACTGGACGGCACCCTGAGTACCATCGAAATGCTGCCGGAAATCGTGGAAGCAGTTAAAGGCCGCGCCGAAATCTACATGGACTCAGGCATTCGGCGGGGCAGCGACGTGGTCAAGGCCCTGTCCCTTGGTGCGCGGGCCGTTCTGGTGGGACGCCCGCTGTTCTGGGGCCTGGCCTGGAACGGCGCCGAAGGGGTGAGGTTAATGCTTGAAATCCTGCGGCAGGAAGTTGACCTGGTTCTGGGCCACTGCGGGCATAGCTCGGTACATACCCTCAGCCCCGAGGTGGTCAACAACCCTCACCCTTTGAACATCCCAGCTATTTAAGCCAGGAAGTGGACACACAGAAAGGGCGGGCACAAGAGCCCGCCCTTTTTCTTTTTGTCCCTCTTATCTGAGCAGAATCTTCGCCTGCTCTTACAACCCTAAAATCGACTACGCCCCAAAGTTCTCCACCAACGTGGAATGAAACTCGTCGCGGCTAAAGAAGTGCTCCTGAGTGCCAAAGCACTGGATCACGAAGTGCGAACAAACCGTCCCCATCATCACTGCTCGTTCCAGCGGAAGCCCGTCCACCAAACCCTTAATCATACCGCCCCGAAACGCATCGCCCGCTCCGGTTGGGTCCAACACGCCTGACGTATGAATAGCCGGCACCGGAATAGCTCCCACCCGGGTCAGGACTTCTGCCCCATCTTCGCCCTTGGTGGTCACTATAGTTCCCACCATTTCCACCAGTTCCTCGGTGCTCTTGCCCGTCTTGTCCTTGATTAACGCAAGTTCGTAGTCGTTGGACACCAACATACTGGACTGGGCAATGCAGTTGGCCAAGTCTTCTCCGTCCCAGGCCGGTAACGACTGACCGGGATCGAAAATGGAGTAGATTCCCAGTTTCCGGTGGGTCTCCGTGAACTCCGCCATGTCCTGAAGGTTCCCGGGAGCGACGATAGCGATGCACTCTCTTGGTTCGATTCCCTCATATCTGAATCCCGCCTGCTGCTTCATCGCGCCTGGGTTGAATCCGGTGATCTGGTTGTCCGACAGGTCCGTCGTTATATAGGCCGAGGCCGTGGCTTCATCATTCACTATGCGGACATCGCTGGTTGACACCCCACATTCTTCAAACCACTGGAAGTACCGGTGGTAGTCGTTGCCAATCGTCGCCACGATGCGGGGCTGTTCCCCCAAAAGAGACAAAGTGTAGGCTATATTGCCGGCGGTTCCACCAAAGTTCTCTTTCAAACCGTTGACGGTAAAGCTCAAGTTAATCATGTGGATTTTGTCGGGCATAATATGGTCCGAGAAACGCCCCGGAAAATCCATTATTCGGTCATAGGCCAAGGACCCGGAAACCAATACTTCCATAAGACTGTTTTTCCTCTGCTATTCAGTTCTCTGCTGTTTTCTCAGTCAGCCCCGAAGGGGAGCCCTACTCTAACCCACCACTTCCGGACGCGCAATGCTAAAAAGTAGCCCTGATGTTGTCTTCAACAACCATATTGGCTAGATAGTTCTCCTTCTAATACGGCCATTGCGCCCACCTGAATGCCTGCGGCCTCGAACTCCCCGGCGTTTATCTCCAGCGCAAACCGGGCCGGGCTTTGTGGCGAAAATCTGGGCAGGTCCGCCCTCGATTGTCCAGGCAAAGGCACCGGCGCGTCCAGGGTTACGTCCACCACGTGGCACGACGAGTCTATCCAGACCATATCCAGCGGGAAGTTCATATCCGGCATCCAGAAAGTAAGGTGCTGGTCGCTTTCAAATACAAACAGCATGCCCGTGCCCTCTGGCAGAACCTCCCGGCCGGATAGGCCTTGATTTCGATCCTCCGGTGTAATCGCCAGCTCGACAGGCCAAGTCGCGGGCCCAATGGACAGTTGGGGCTGGGCCATATTAGGGGTAGGCTCTACAGTAGGCAAGACCGGATCCACGGTAGCAGGCTCAGGTGTAGGCAGTTCAGCCGCAGTAGGTAGTGGCGTTGCCTCTTCCAGCAGGGTAGCCGGCGGCAACTCTGTTGCGGTGGGCAGCGGAGTTGCTGGCGGGAGTTCAGTGGCAGCCTCCGGCAATACCACGCTTGGAAGCTCGGTGGCAGAAGGCAAAAGCGTCACCGTGGGGAGTTCAGTTGCCGGGGGCAACTTGGTGGATTCAGGCAATACCGGCAAGGAGATAGGTTCGGCCAGTCCACCTCCGGTGCAGGCGACGAATAATGCCAACAGGGTCAGGGAAATCAAGGTGAATAATAAGCGCATATTTCTGGCAGGCACCCAAAGCGGCAAACGAAGAATCCGGAACAAGTACAAATCTTTGGCAAGCCGCCAGTCCAAGTACGGCAAATTGCCCAAGGTCTCGCCGGGGCCCTATGCTACAACTGCTTCCGGCCCACCTTCGTCGAACTTTGCTAGTTGGCCTACCCTATCTCCCCTCGAATAGTCTGCAAGCGGTCCTTGAGAGAACGTAACAGAATAGCGGGCGGCGCGGGAGCCACGTGGGTGTAGCCAACGCCCAGTTCCTGTAGTTCCTTGGGGCCCAGAGGCATGGCCGCATGGTTCATCGGAAACTGCATTTTGGCCTTGCCGATACCCTTGATTCGATTTGCCAGTTCGGTCAGTTTTGCCCGCAGCTGCGGACTCTGCGGATCCCGGATACCCATATATTCGGAAAAGTCGGTAGGGCCGATGGAAACCAGGTCGATGCCTTCCAGCGCCGCTATGGCCTCAATGTCGTTGACGCCCCTTTCGTCCTCGGTCATCACTGAAAGCAGTATCTGTTCGTTGGACGACTTGGTGTGCTCATCCCAGCCAATCATCCCGTAACCGGCCGCCCTCGTCCCTCCGGCCCCGCCCCGGTGGCCCAGGGGTGCGTACCGAACGGCGTCGACCGCCCTCCTGGCTCCTTCCAAACCGTCCACGTGGGGGATAATAATTCCCTCGGCGCCCGCGTCCAGTATGCGCAGGATCAGCTTCTCGTCGTTGTCCGGTACCCGAACAATGGACGTCACCCCGGCCAGGTCCGCCGCCCGGATCATCTCCCCGACCAGGCGCAGGTCAAAGTCGGTATGCTCCATGTCAATGAAGGCTGCGTCGTAGCCGGCCAAGCCAATAATTTCAACTATCTGCGGGTCGGCAAAGGTAACGTATGTCCCCAAAGCCAGCTTCCCTTCGCTCATCACCTTCTTTACCCTGTTCTGTCGCATGAAAAACTCCTGCCTGTAATTTGCCCTGGCCCATTATTCTATACCCTTCAGCCAGGTGCAACTTTGCCCTTAAAGTTGGCAAACTCGATTGCCTTACTACAAGCCTTCCGTTAAAATCCCACTCACTTGACCAGATTCAAAGGAGAGTCCTCAAAGCAGATGTTAACTGGCGCATTGGAAGGGGTAAAAGTTCTTGATCTGAGTGAGGACATTGCCGGTTCCTTCTGTGCCCGTTTGCTGGCGGACTATGGCGCCGACGTTCTGAAGTTGGAACCCCCGGGCGGCTCCGCACTCCGGCGCATGGGCCCTTTCTTCCAGGACGACCCTCACCCCGACAAGAGCCTTTTCTACCTGGTCCTTAACCTTAACAAGAAGGGCGCCACCCTCAATCTGGACACCGTCACCGGCCAGGCCATACTAAAACGTCTGGCTCCCCATGTCGATGTAATTGTGGAGAGCTACCGCCCCGGCTATCTTTCTTCCGTGGGTGTTGGCTACGACGAGCTTATGGTCCTGAATCCCGCTCTTACCATGACTTCCATCACCCCCTTCGGGCAGGAGGGTCCCTACAGCCAGTACCGTGGTGAGGAGATAGTCAACTATGCCATGGGCATGATCATGAGCATCAGCGGGGTGCAGGGACGGGAACCGCTCAAGCATGGCGGATTCCAGGCCCAGTACGAAGGCGGTTTGTTCGCCGCGGCAACGACTTCGATGGCGTTGTTTGGATCGGAATTCACCGGAGTGGGCGAGCACATCGACGTGTCAATAACCGAGTGCAT